GGGGGTGGCTCTGTTTGGGTGCCGGGGGGGAGGGGTGCAAGCCTCTCCCCGAGAACGCCAGCCAGAGGCTGCAGGAGCCGGCGCGCGTCTGCGCCCCGTCCAGTGCTCTGAGGGAGGACTCACTTGCCCAGGAGGTAGGCTTGGGGGGGCCAGGAGGGATGGGGCGTCAGCCTCGCCCCCCACTTCCCTGCGGGCTCTGGAGCTCCGGCTGCAGTCCTGAGCTGACTGCTGGAGGTGAGTGGGCTCTGGGGGCTGCCGCGCCCTCAAAGCTCTCGGTGGGTTCTGGAACTCTGCCGACTCTGCCCACAGGGCAGCCCCCAACCCCTTCTGCAGGCATTTCTAGATGGGGGCACATCCTCAGAGCTCAGCTCCAAGTGCCTTTCCCGGGCCGCCCTGCTTCTTCCTATTCAGACTCCCGGTGTGGCAGAGAGCCTGGAGCTGCCCCCCCCACCCCCAGCCCGGGCTGAGGGAAGGTGGTCAGACCTCTGAAACTGAAGGAAGGGGTGACCCCTCAGTGGTCTCCCTCTGGGGTGTCTGATGCCAGACAGATGCTGATGATGCTGATGACGGCTTTAGCATCCTCTGGGTCTTGGAAGAAAACAACAAAACCCACCATGTTTGGGGGGAAGACTGTAGGCAGTGGTTGGTTGCCTTTTCTCAGGGAGCGTTCATTTGCTGTCTGCACGCACCGACTGATGCCCAGCATGGTGTGTGGAGCGCTGAGGGTGTGGGGCTGCCGTTCATGCCTCCCTCCTAGGTAGGTCTCAGAACAGGAGATCCTGCTGCGGCTGAGATGGTTGGGGGAAGGCTCCGGAGAGAAGGGGCGTTTGAGTTGGGCGCTGAGAGAGGAATATTCAAGCGGCAGTGCACAGGCCTTGGGGACACGGACTCAGGTCCACAAAGCTGTATTGAACACTGCCGTTGGATGCAGGAGGGATGCAGATAGAATTCCTCCTCTCCGTAGCCCGCTGTCTAGGCATGACTAGGAGGGAGTGAAGAGTGTAAATTCGGAGAGACAGTTTCCGGGCTGCTTCCCAAGAAACCTGGAATTCCCAGCACCGCCGTGTAGCTGGGAGGGGTCCCCCTGGGAGCGATGTGGTAGACTACACTGTCCAGGGCCACCCACTCCCCATCCCTGGATGCTGAAATAGGTTCCTCCAACTAGTCCTTGCCCCCGGAGGACCACCACCTCCTTTCTGGGGTGGGGTGGGTGGTGTGTGTGTGTGTGTGTGTGTGTGTGTGTAGCCATGGCACAACAGGGTCTGGGCCACCTGAAAGGTGGGTAGTTCAAACACACCCTGGGTACCTGCCCCAGACAGATGACAGCCGAGAACACCTGCTTAGGTAGGTCCCCTCTGTCACATAGATCCTCTGTGAGGTGGAGTTGACTCGATGGCGCTTAACTGCTCTGTGAGGTGGGCTCTGGGTTTATCCCCAACTGAGAGACATGAGAACTTGGGCTCAGAAGGAACAAGGAGTCTTCCTAGGGGTACATGAGAGCGGAAAGGCAGAGCTGGAGTTTAAGGCCAGGTCACCTGACCTGGGAGGCTCTGTTCCTCACTGCCTGCCTGCCTGCCTGCCTCAACGGACCACACAGAAGGTGCAACAGAGCCGGGGCTCAGGAGTTTCCTGAAAGGAGTCAGTCTGTAGGCCTGCACGCTCAGGTGATAGGAGGGGGCGTGTGCAGCAGCCTGTTAGCTGAGCATGGGTGCTCGCGCTGTTTACTGGAAGCCCAGCAGGCCTGGAGCAGACGGTGGGGGCTGCACACAGCTGCTCCTCTCCTGATAGTCCTGGGTGTGCTTTGGAGCCCTGGCTGCTAACTGCAAGGTCGGCAGCTCGAAGCCACAAGCCGCTCCAAGTGGGAAAGAGGAGACTTTCTACTCCCGTAAAGAGTGACAGTCTCACCCCCACAGGGGACGTTCCACCCTGTCCTATAGGGTCGATACGAGTTGGGACCGACCCCATGGCAGTGACACGGCAAGAGGAAGGAGGGCTGTCAGTGTCCCCAGAGGAGCCAAGGTTAGATGCAAGGAGGAACGTAGGGTTGTAGACAACGGAATCTGGGAATCCTTGCAGAGAGCCAAGATTCCCTTGGCCTGGATTCTGGGAGGACCCGCCAGGACTTGTCTGCTAGTTGTTGGAAGTTGAGTAAGGGAAGCTGATCAAGAGTGGGCGCACAGTAATCCAAAGATGAGTCTTCGTGTCTTTCTTAAAAGACAAAAGGCATTACGTTGTTTGCTAACATTTTGCTGCGAATCGAGTGAGGGTTAAAGACCATCACTTTGACACCGAACCATTCCTACGCATCTTGTTTCTGTTCATTCACTGCAGCCCCTCAGGATGACACCTGGATGTATCCTGCTTCCTTGTTTCCATGCCCCTTCCACCTCCTTTCCCAGCCGGCTGAACTCTGTCCTGGGACAGATGCTGCCCTTTGATCTTAGGGAGTTGATGATTCTCAGGGTGTGCCCCTCACTGGTGCGATTGCCCCTCTTAGAGACTTGTCTATTGTTTGGCTGGAGATTCAGCCACCCTGATTGATCACAGGCTCTGGTCTTAGGAGTTCCACCTGGCTCTATCCAACCCGTGAGCCTGGTGTCTTAGGATTTGGAGTTTTGCCCCACATTTCCTCAAACTCTATCCAGGAGCTCTCCTAGTGCTGCTGTAGCAACTACAGAAGTGGCCTAAAAGAAGATGGTTTGGGTTGAACACAGGGCAGGAAGGCTAAAAGTTTGAATTCTGTGTGTGGCTCGAGGGCAGGATTCGGAACCTCATGCCCACAGGTCCTACAAGACCCGCCCAATCAGCAATACCAGCTATCAGCACACCTCACCAAAGAGTGGCCATTGGCAGCCATCACACCAGGGATGAGTTAATGAAATACAGCCGGCTAATTATGGAAGGTGCCACAGCTTGCCAAAGGAACCAACAGATGCTCGTTAGCAGCCAGGACGAGACGGCGTCTCACATACCTTGGACGTGTTGTCAGGAGAGACCAGTCCCCAGAGAAGGACGTCATGCTTGGTCAAGTCCAGGGCTAGTGAAGAAGTGGGCCCTGGACAAGATGGATTGACCCAGTGGCTGCACGGGGGGAGGGTGGCACAGGGCCAGTCAGTGCTTCGTTGAGTTCAAAACAGCCTCAACAGGACAGCACCCAGTAGCACCCAGCAACCACACTGTAAAGTGATCATGCTGTGAAAAATATCCATTGGCTCTCGGAAGACAAAGACCCCCAGACCCTCAGTCTAGAGGGCCTGGGGGCCGCCTGCACTCTGTTTCAGATTGCCTACTACCACTGCCTCCCAGTCAAATCCAACTCAAAGCCACCCCATTTAAGGTTTTCCGGATGGAAAGCATTACAGCAGTGGTTCTCCACCTTCCTAAGGCTGCAACCCTTTCATACAGTTCCTCACGTGGTGACCCCCCAGCCACAACATTATCTTCGTTGCTACTTCGTCACTGTCATTTTGCTGGTATGACTCCAGCGACCCCTGTGAAAGGGTTATTCAACGCCCACAGGGGTCAAGACCCACAGGTTGAGCACCGATGCATTACAGGGTCAGATAGCGTTGTCGTTCTCCCTCCAGAGGCGGGTGGGTTTGAACTGCAGACCTTGAGGCTAGGAGCCCACCCCCTCTCCCCCAGGACCAGCTGTCGTCCTTAGGTCCTTGATGATCTTGTGGCATTTTTCTTCCTGCGCTGCTGCTGGTTTGGCTCTGTCTGTGCTGTCCCTTATGAGTGAGCCGTGACCAGACTCGGGACAGACTGCACAGCCGGCCTGGGGAGTGTGATCAAGAAAACCACCGGTCTGGGATAGGATTCCAGCACCTCCTTCTGGGGCTGGGGCCACAGTTCTGTCCAGATCAGGCAGATGTTCACCACCTACCTTTCTTCCCCACAGCTGCTTCATCCCAAAGTCAAGTCCCTGTCCGACCCATTCCCCCAGGGCAGGCTGGGGAAAAAAACGCCCAGGATGCTCCAGGCCACAGAGCAGAGATGCCCTGAACCCCAACCAGTGCTTCTGTCACCTTTCTCAAGCGAGAGCCCCAGTCCCAAGCCTAGGGGACCCCCTGAGGCAGAAGATCCCTTTTTGGCTTGCCCACAGTCCAAACCACTCGGTGCCCCCATTAGTCTTTGAGAGGAGCCTGTGATGGGAGGGGGCCGGGGGTGGGCCAGAGCCAGAGGCTAGCTATGCAGAGATAGCAGGCGAGCAGGAGGTAAGAGAGATCAGCAGGATGTGTATAGACTGCCAGGCTCCACCACACGCGGCCCTCCCTCCTGTGGGGGGCGGGGTGCAGTGGAACTCGTGACTCGACCCAGCCCCCTGCCCCAGGTCCTCGGCTTGGCAGTGGGGACAGGTTGTACTCTTGAGAAACCACAAGAGGAAGTTTAGAGAGGACTAGGGTGGGGAAAGTTCTGGGCCCCAAGCCAAGTTTCTCTCTCCGCACCGCCGCCCCCGCCCCCCCCAAGCAGAGGTGTGTTTATCTTGCCTATACAAAGACATTTAAATCTTAAACCTGCCCAGTTTCTAGAAGGTGCCAAGACCCTCCCGTGCCAGGGACATCCCTAGAAATGGGGTGGGCTTTGGCTTTCAGTGGGATTCCCGCTTGCTTGGGAACCCTCACAAGCTCCTGTTCACCGCCTGCCCCCAAGCCATCTTGCATCCCCAAGTCCAGACGGGCCTCTGCACTCACCATGTTGGAGCTGAACTGCTGCCAAAGAGCCATGCCTTTGTCTTACCTGCCTTTTCTCCTTGCATGTTCCACACGTGGGCTTAGCAAATGCCTTCATGCCCCATTCACGGATGAAGAAACAGGCTCAGAAAGGCTAAGGCACTCGCCTGGGGTCACACAGCTAGTAAGAAACAGAGGACCCTGTTGGTGGTGTAGTTAACGTGTCAGGCTGCTAACCTCAAGGTCTGCAGTTTGAACCCACTATCCGCTTCACGGGAGAAACACGCGGTAAAGAGCTACAACCTGGAAAACCCACAGGAGCAGTGCTCCCCTGTCCTGGAGGGTTGCTGTGAGTCAGAATGGACCATGGCCGTGCGTTTGGTGTGGAGTTCGGGCTGTTTGCTTCTACACCGCCCCTTCCTCAACACTCCAGATCCTGCCCCAAGTGGTAGGGAGGCTGA